GCCTGGCACAGAGGAGGCGCTCAGATCCTACAGCCTGGAACAGGGCCTGGCACAGAGGAGGCGCTCAGATCCTACAGCCTGGAATAGCATCTGGCACAGAGGAGGGGCTCAGATCCTACAGCCTGGAACAGGGCCTGGCACAGAGGAGGCGCTCAGATCCTACAGCCTGGAACAGGGCCTGGCACAGAGGAGGTGCTCAGATCCTACAGCCTGGAACAGAGCCTGAAACAGAGGAGGCACTCAGATCCTACAGCCTGGAACAGCAGAGGCGCTTGGTATGTATTCATTGACTACTTGTCTCTAGAAACACGGGTTCAAAGGCAGCGTCACTGAACTCAATTCAGCTAGCGTTCATCGAGTGCCTCCTGGGTGCTGGTGTTTCCACACGAAGGTTGTTGGAAGAACACAGCAGTGTGAATTCAGGGCTTAGGAAACCCCAAGACCGAAGGGTCCAGGCTTCCATCCAGAAGGCAGAGACGGAGCAGCCTTTCTCTCTCTGGGAATTTCCCAGCATGGTGACCTTGGACCTTGGGTGTGAAGTTGACTGATAAAATGTGTTCATTAAAGCAATTGACTGACACAAAGCCCTGAAGGAGAGTAAAGGTCAGGGAGCCCCATGACCCTGGGCCTGCTGCACACCAGGGAGCTTGGCAAACCAGGCCAGTGGCACACTGGTCTCTTCAGGCCCTCTCCTCGGCCAGCCTGGGATGATTAGAGGCACGCCACCCTGAGGTCACCCTCCGGTGTCAGTGTCAGCGGGGAGGTACTAGCTCACCCCAGGAAGAGGCTTCATAGAGGGGACCCAGTGAGTGTGGCCCCATTACCACCCCGCAGGGATGACTGGTAGGGGTGGGGTGGTGCACGGGATGACTCGCCCAGCTCTCTCGGGAGGGTGAGCTCAGTTCTGGAGTCCCTGGCTGGGGAGAGGCAGATCCTAGACAAGGGACAGGGCCTGGGAGACAAGGCAGGTGACACAGCAAGGGCTCATCTGCCTTCTCTTGAGTCTATACCTAGGGCAACCATCCCAGTGTCTCCCAGAATCCTCTTGGATGGCCTTGGCCCAGAGTGATGTCTCTTGGGGATGGCGAGGCTCAGGTGTGTGCGAGGGAAGGAGGACATTTAGGAAAGGTGAGGGGCAGGCCAGGGCACCTGCAGGACAGATGGCCCCAGGCAGAGTGGCAGTAAAAGTCTGTCGATGGGGCTCTGACATGCACAACAGTGAAAGTTGTCCTTGAACCTGCAGGTGCCTCTGACCATCAGTACAGTAAGACAAAGCCAGGTGATGGTCCATGACCCCTCAGAGCCAGGCCAACCTGCCCAGGCTGAGGATTGGACAAGACTGAGGGGAAGGGGTCACGGAGTGGGCTGGGCACATTGGAGGGGACCCTTTCAGGGTGGTGGTTTGTAACCTTTGTGAGGGACTCACAGACCCTTCCAAGAATCCAATGAGTGATATAGAGGATCCACATTCCCGGGAGAAAGCGTACACACACATACAAGTACACACACATACAAGCACGTCCTTCCATGGACGCCCCCCACCCCAACCCAAGCCATACTGCTAGGCGAGGGCCCTGGTAGAGGAGCCCCGCAAGAGGGGCTGCCCTTAGGGGGCCCTGTGCTCGCAACCTCCTTTCCACATTAGCCTTGGGGCAAAGGCATCCTGGCCCGCCTGCTCCTCCTGGCAGTGGCTGTGTAATGGGAAGGTCCCCTGGGCCATAGCACCCCAGGGGAAAAGGTGCTGCTGAGGAAGCAGGTTGGTGCCTGCTCAGCCCCCTGCCTGGGAATGTCTCCACCTAGCACAGCCTGGCACGGCCTGGGGCTTTCCTTTATTTTTACAAAGGGGCCCGGGGAAAGTTTGTGGTGAGTGTCAGCCTTGGAAATGTGAGGGAGAAAGGACTGGAAAGGTCAGTGGGGTCGGGGCTATGGGCGACATCTCTCCCCAGAGGGAAGGGCAAGGCCGGCCCATTGGGGCAGGCATGGAGCCAGGCCTGGCTGCTCTGTTCGGGCCTTAGGCCAGTCGAAACCATCAGGTGGGAAGCTTCCTGCTAGGAAAGCCCCATTTGGTGAGCCCCGCTGGGATGCAGAGGCCATAAGGAGCCTCAGAGCGTGAGACCAACGGGGAATGGAGCCTCTCCTGTCACAGGCTGGCTGCCCCCTCAGCCGCCCCCACCGGCCACCTGGATGCAGAAAACCTTGGGGAACGTGGGCCCCTGAGGGGGCTCTGCAGCATGCCTACCTGACCTACTGCCCTTTCCAAATTGACTTTAATGAGGTTCTCTCTGTTCCCCATTTCTTGCAGATGAAGCAATTTCCTCCTGGAGTCCTCCTGCAGCTTCTCTTCAACCTGGAATGATGGTGAAAGGGGCACTGGCTGCTAATGCACTGCTAATGCACTGTGGGGGTGGGAGGCATGCCTAGGGGGCTAAGGGACCCAGGGGAGGCCAGTGGATTTGGGCAGCTGCAGCCCACATGCTAGGGCCACTCACGGGCGTGCCTGGGCTGGAGGTAGGCTCCCAAGGAGCCCTCTCCTGGCAATGGGCCTAGCTCTCCACCTGAGCTCTGCCATGGCTTGTCCTATGCCAGGTTCCTAGCAAGCCACGTGTCCTTGGGAAACTGCACGGCCCCGGGGTCCAGTGTCTTTTTATCTATCAAATGGGTATGACAACAGTAGTGCCCATCTCACAGTGGCTTCTCTCTTCCACGGGTGAGAGTGTCCAGGGCTCAGTCGGGGTTCTCTACGGCATGAGGTGTTGCTGCGACTGGTGTGGACAGGAATGCCTCTCAGGTAGCATCTAATACCGTAAGTACCTCTCCCAGCACTAGCTGGAAGTGGGTCCTTGGGAAATGCTACTAGGATATTATCACATTCACCAGTGGACTCACCTCTCATTAGGCAGCAGCTATGAAAGAACTGCAGCCCGTGAAGCAGTGTTTAAACCCTCTCTGCCTAGACGCTTGCCTGGGTAGCAGGCAGCCCACCAAGAGCGTGGGAGTGTTGATGCTGCCCTCTGCTGGTCACTGCCGGCCCTGCAGCGTTTACGGGTGTGCTCTGGGCCGGAACCTTTGTTGGCTTCATGTTCGATGGAGAAACATTGTTTGAGCGTCTACAGAGCCCAGAGCAATAACACTTTGGGGAAAGGCGGCAAACTCTCTTAAATGAAAGGAGGCTGTGTTGAAACAATTCACGTTGTTTTTCTCCCTTGGAGCAGCCGGTGGGTTTGACAAGCGACCCTGTATTTAGAAGTCCGATGTTTACTTGGCAGCACTACTGGGGCTCCTTAGTAGGGGCAGAAAGAGGGACCCCAGGCCAAACAAGATCGACTGCCCTCAAGTCCAGTCGGACCCATAGCCACCCTCGAGGACAGAGCAGACTGCCCTGTAGTTTCCAAGGCTGTAAATCTCCATGGAAACACACTGCCACGTGGGTCTCCCTCAGAGCAGCTGGTGCATTCGAACTTCTGCCCTTTTGGTTAGCAGACACGTGGTTTAGACACTGCATCGCCTGGGTCTCTTAAAGAGGGATCACATGGAAATAACTGAAAACCCAGCAAACTCTCTTAGAGATTCTTTTTCTGGGCAGTGTGGCCCAGGGACAGACCTTCTAAGGACCTAGGTTACTTGGGAGCGGTCATGTAACTTCCAGGGTTTTAGCTTCCTTCCACGTCTAAGCAGTACTTTCCCACAGGCTTCAAAGGCAAAATCTAACCCTGGACTTCACTCTTATCCCAATGAATGGCCTCTCGGTTCCTCTATCCCAAACCTCACACCAACTTCAGCTCCTCCCCGGCTCCGTATCACATATCCAAGGCCTCTCCCCAGCTTCTCTCACCCACGCAATTTCCATACCTCCTCGCAGAGCAGGCCCTAGTCACCGCGGGCAGTGACCACAAACTAAGGAGCCTTTACCCTGCCCAAGGAGCTCGGGCGGCACCTCAGTGAAGCATTTGGCTGTTAACTGAAGGGTCAGTAGTTTGAATCTAAAAAACGAACCATAGGAGGGAGAGGTGGCAGTCTGCTTGTGTAAAGACTTACAGCCTTGGAAACCCCGTGGGGCCGAATCGGAATGGATGGGATGGCAGGGGGGCTTTTGTGTGTGACTCTGGCCCAGGCTCCAGGCGGGGCTCAGAGGTTGGCCTCTTTGCCTCCATTTTATCCCCCTCCCATAGTTTCTCCGTGGTACTGTGGGAGTTACCAAGCGACAGAGCAGCGTTGTGTGCCAGAGTCTGCGGAACGACATGTTCGGAATCGACAGTGTCCAATGTGGTTAAGGACTAGCCACGTACTTCAGGAGGGCTGGTGGCAGAGCAGGGACTGCTCCGCCCTGCCATTCGCCAGGAGTGGAACAGGCTCTGTGGTGGTGAGTGAGCCATGTGCTTCATACTTGAAATGTGACCATGGAGCACTAGAGATGTGGCTGTTGATAGTAAAAATGCATTGTTTTTACATGTTACTTCATTTTAATGAATTTTAATTGAAATGGTCCCATGTGACTAGGGTCACTAGAGTCAAATAGACTTGGCTTCTAAACTTGGCTTTCACCACCTCCTAACATTTGGCTGACTTTGAGTTAGGTCCTGTACTTTCTGCACCTTGGTTTCCTCATCTGTAAAGTGGGGGTGTGCTTTTCTAGATCATGGGGCTGATGTGAAAATAAAAAGAGATCAAATGTTTGGCATAATGTTTAGAGCATGAGAAATGATGGCTATCATTTTCATTATTATCATTAATCACAAATGTTATCCTATCCGTCATCTGTCTGAAAGCCTGCAGTCCCCATTGCCTCCATGGTATGTAGCTCCAACTATAAAACCATTGAGAGGGGGAAAAAACAAGGCAATCCAAAGATTCAAGGAGCCGATATGACTCCTATATGAATAAGACAGATGAAAGTAACTCCACACCTGGATAAATTATACTAAAACCACTGCCAGCCAAAGGAAAAGAAAATCTTAAAAGCAGATAAAGATAAAAGGCAAATTACACCAAGGTGCTACAGTTAGCTTATGGCTGACTTTTCAACAGAAACAACGGAAGACAAAAGACAATGGGGTGACATACTGCACGTTTTTATAATGAGCTCAAGGAGAATAATTGCCAATGTTGAATTTACTACTCAGTCAAATACATTTCAAGAATGATGTTAACTCACAGAATGTCACAAGGAAGGGACAAGCCAGCCAGGGTGCATTACAGCACCTCTGAAACATACAATTTTCCTCTAGTTCTTTAATGCTTCTCTCCCCCCTGCCCCCAAACACCACTATCATGACCCCAATTCAACCTTACAAATCCGGCTAGACCAGAGCAAGTACACAGATAAGCGCTCACAACACATGGAACCCCAGGACAGATAGCCCCTCAGGAAAAATAACGGGAGTAGCAATACCATGAGGGTAGGGGAAAGGTGGTGGTGGTGGTGAAAGAAAGAACCAATCACAATGATCGATGTATAACTGCCCCTCCACCAGGGGGATGAACAACAAAAATGTGGGTGAAGGGAGACAGCAGTCAGTGGGAGATATGAAAATAATAATAATTTATAAATTAAAAATTAAAATAATTTATAATTTATAAATTAAAATAATTTATAATTTATAAATTAAAATAATTTATAAATTATCAAGGGTTCATGAGGGAGGGAGTTTGCGGGAGGGGGGAAATGAGCTGATACCAAGGGCTCAAGTGGAAAATGATGATGGCAACCGATGTGCAAATGTGCTGACACATGGATGTATGCATGGATTGTGATAAGAGCTGTAAGAACCCCCAATAAAATGATTAAAACAAAAAGAATGATGTTAAGTGTAGAAAATTTCAAACACACACAAATTTGAAAGAATTTTCTATCAGCAAAGCCACATTGAAGAAAAATACTAAAAGATGTTCTTCAGGTAGAAGAAAAATGATCCCCCCAAACAGTAGTTCAGAGGTGCAGAAGAGACAAGCAGTAGAAAGGGTGAGAGATGGATAGATACAAATGAATACTGACCATATAAGAATACCAACGATGTCTTTTGAGATTTTAAATAAAGAGAGACATTAAAAACAAAACAAAAACAACCGATGGCACCCAAGTGTAGAGAGGCAATAAATGAAGTTAATGTTATTCTAAAGAGGAAGACATACCTATCAAGTAATATTCGATTTTGGTAAATCAAGAATGAACGACATTGTCTTACTCTCACTAAAAGAATAGATTAATGAAAAGGGAAAACGTCTAAGCGAATGGGAAGGGCAGTGGAATGATGGGAAACCATCCACTCAAAGGGCCGGGAGAAAGGAGGGAAAAGTGAACACCACACAGGTGGCTCAGGCCCCGGAGCCAGTATCTCACCGGCCACAGCGGACAGACGTTTATCTACACGTAGGCGCACAGTCTCAAGACGCGGACATACAGACACGAAAGGGAGAAGTGCACATTCACGATGTAACACAGAAACAACAACTCAACATCTGGTTGAGCAACAGACAGGACAATGGCCAGGAGCATTCAAATTCGGAACAACATCTTTGGCAAACGATCTCGTGGACATACGGAGATACAACAGCCAACACTTAGAATACGCGTCCTTTTGAAGTGCCCCCGGGGAGCATGGGACAGGCCTGACTGCAGGCAGGATCACAAAGGGGGTCTCCCGTCATGTCCAGATGCTGCGGTCACCCAGAGGGGTTCTCTGGACACAGGGCCATTCAGCTGGGAACCAACACAAAAGTAACCTGAAAATTCCCAGATATTTAGAAACTACGGAATCACTTTACACTAGACGTGGATCAAAGAATAAGTCACAATGAGAACTGGAAACTATTTTTACCTCAATCATAATGAAAGATCTATATACTAAGAATGTGAAGACGCCCCCAAAGAATGTGTCGGAAAGTAGGCTGCTGCAGCTGCAGCTAGGCCAGAATTTAGCCCCCTATCATTTGATCTTCCTTAGGATCCATTTAAATTTGCTCTAGCTTTCAGTATCTTCTACTTTCTTTTCAATTGAGGTTTTTATCTGTTTTACTTTATGATTGTTTGTTCCTTAATGTTTGTTTTGTATATGAACTCCAGGATAGGGAAATTTATAGAGACAATAACTGGATAAGTGGTTCCTTAGGGGTATGGCCAAAGAAGAGGTGGGGGAATGAAGAAAATGTTCTAATTCCAATTGCAGTGATGATGTACAGCTTTTATTGATGTATTGAACTATTTAAATGTATGATATGTGAATTATAGGCCAATAAAACTATTGGGGGGGGGTGCAGCTAAAGCCTCATTTAGAGGAACAGGTGTAGCCCAAGGGGGCAGTCTGAGTCCATGAGCATCGCTACAACTATTTTAATTAAAACTGTATCAATGCAAATTTGTTTTCAATTAGAAAGTATTTTCTAGAATGAAGCTTACAATGGTTTAGGAGAGTTCCAAATTTTTCTATTTTCTCCTTTATTCTTTGAGATGATTTTTCTCTGGGTCAATTCATTACAGGGTCAGTTAGAATTAAGATCGGATCCACCCATAAGTCATTTTCTTTCTTTTCGCCACTCAACTGTCACTGTGTGTGTGTGTGTGTGTGTGTGTGTGTGTGTGTGTGGCCCCCATGTCTGTCAAGTCTATTTTTTCCTCCAGATTATATTTTATACATATAATTTTTTTCAAGAGTATCTGATTATTCTCTCAAGCTCTCTTCAGTAACAGATTTCACTCAGTGTAGACTCAGCTACGGGTGTCATTCGAATGATTTCCAACAAGTCTACTGATGCTTGGACAATTTTCCTGGTCGTTATCAACATCATCAGCATAATCTGACGTTCCAGGTGGTTTCTAGTCTACTACAAATGCTAACCCATGGGGTTCTGATGGTCACTTTTAGCCGCATTCACTCAAAATTGGAGAACAGCGTCACTTGCCTTGATTTCTCAAGTCATCAGTGAAAGATTCCCTGCCCTCAGGATTGTACTGTCTTCTAGATTTGACCTTAGAGTAGCTTGTTTTCTCAGTAGTGACTGTCTTCTCAGCAGGGCGCTAGAGCTTCCAAGGGGAAAGAGTACAGCTTCTCCCGTGCCCTCCGGACCTCAGAGGTATTTTCATGTTAAGGTGTCCATGGCGCTGCCTTTGTCTCAGCGGCTATACCGCCCTAGGAGAAAGCTCTTCGGTGTGCAGGAACAGGTCTTCCTAGAACAATGGACATGCCTCCGCTCTGCACTTTTCAATAGAGTAACCACTGACCACATGTGCGTACTGAGCACTTAGGTTGTGGCCAGTGCAATGGAGGAGATGAATTTTAATGGGCTTTCGCTTAATTTCATTTTCCATAGCACATGCGCTTGGTGGTTGCTGTGATGGGGGGCTGAGGTCTAGCATATGCAACTCTTAAGTGTTTTCTCATGATGTGGAGGAAACGCAAAAACAATTGGACAGCGTCATACCCACTGGGGTCTGGAAGGAAAGCGATCTCATTAGAGGGTGAGGGGAGTACGGGATAGTCCAGAGGAGTGGTTCCTACGGAATCAGACAGACCTGGGTTCAAGTTCTGTGTCATTACTTTATCCAAGTGCACAGGAAGGGCTGCCTTTGCCTCCATAAGCCTTAGTGTTCTCAGCTGGGAGGTGGGGTTGAGAATGGACTGCACCCAATGGGGCTGCTGTGAGGGTTAATGGTGCTGACACATGTGCAGGTCCAGCTGAGGCTGCCCTGGCCCTACCTTGTTTTTCTCTCGAATGGTCTTGGAGATCATGTTATGTTCCGTGCAGCTCTTCCTCAGATCCTCCTTGAGTTTCTTCATTTCTCGATCCATGTCCTCGATTTGCTGAAAGGGTTTCAAGCACAGACACGTCAACACTCCCAGTGCGAAGGAGGAGCTGGGCATATGGCCTGAAGCCTCAGGGCCCCTTGATCGGGTTCACTGGGGGAGAAACCTCGTCAGGCGCTGCAGACCCATAGCCATGCCCCGTGAGAGGGCAGAGCGTCCTCGAAGGGCTGCTGGACTGTGATCTGTACAGAAGCAGACCGATGGGTCTTCTGCCCGTGGAGCCGGTGGGTGAAAAGTTCCTGTAGGGGGTGGGGGGCAGCTGAGCGCGTAATCTTTGTGCCCCCAGGACTCCTTAGTCTCGTATTAAACTCACAGCCATCGGGTTGACTCCCTAAGGACCCTATAGAGGCCCCATGCTGACTTGTGACGTGGGACATAGGAGCACACGGGGAGCACGCCCCTGTCCAGGGGTAGGACACCAGCAGCTCTGTAGATGAGAGCAGACAGGCTCATCTGTCTCTGAGGTGCAGCCGGTGGGCCTGCACCACCCTCTTAGTTCAAGGCCCAACTCACAGAGCCACCAGGGCTCCTTAGTCTGAGCTTCAAAACTCAAAACGCACTGCCGCTGAGCCTAGGCAGACTCAGCGCAGCTCTCTAGGGCAGGGTAGAATGGCCCCTATGAGTTTCTGAGGCTGTTAACTCTTTTTTTTTAAAGATATGAAAATAATAATTTATAATTTATCAAGGGGTCATGAGGGTGAGACATGGGGAGGGAGGGAAAAAAGAGGAGTGGATACCAAGGGCTCAAATAGAAAATAAATGTTTAGAAAATAACAGTGGCAACATATGTACAAATATGCCTGATACAATTGATGTATGGATTATTATAAAAGCTTTAAGAGAACCCTATAAAATGATCTTTTAATTAAAAACAAAAACACTTCTATTGAATATTAGGTTTGCAGAAGATGACAGATAACAGTGAAAGCCTAAAATTGAATTCAAGATTCTCCAAGTGGGTTAACCCTCAATTGAATCCCTTCTGACCATAGGCTGTTAACTCTTTACGGGCGTAGAAAGCCCCATCTTTCTCCCAGGAGTGGCTGGTGTTTTACGCTGCTGGACTTTGTGCATCGCTGCCCAAGGATGAGCAACCACTACGCTTGCTTTGTCCCTTCTCCTGGGGGCAATTTGATATCTTTAAGGCCAAGTAGACTTTTTCCACGGGTTATTTACAGTGCTGGGTCAAAGGAAATCGTTCATTTCCTTGGAAAACAAGCAGGATCCTGAACTAAATGCATGCTATCCATCAATGCATCAGAATCCTTGCCTGGGGTATGTTTTTGAGAACAGCCTAAATATGGACACGCCGTTGGGAAGACAGGCTGGGCACAGCTTTGGGAGAACAGAACAATGAACTGATTCTTTCCTTTCTCTATCCACTTGAGGCCGAGAATGGGAACATTCCTGGTGTGGCAGAGACCGGGCCTCCTTGCCTAGGGCTCAGTAGCAGAGCCAGAGCACCGAGTGGGAAGATGAGAACGATGTGAAAATGGGTCTTGGGGATGGTCCAGCAGCAGTCGTCGATGCCACTGAGAGCTACCCTCAAACAGAGTGGAACGGGCAGGTCTTAGGCTACCGACAGTTGACCCTCA